TCCAATAATTTTCAAAAATTTTAAAAATTTGTAGACTTAGACTTATATATTAAGAACTTTAAATTTAACGGTTGAATTATTAAAATTTTATGTAAATCATGAATTATTGGATAAAGTAAGTTTAGATAAACTTACTTGTGCAATAAACGAATTCCTCTTTCATATATATATATATAAAGGAAAAATTAATTATATTACCTGAAAACAATTAAAAGTACTTTTCTATTTAATAATCGGATATGGTTAGGATTTCAATAACCCCGAGACTAAGTTAATTTAAAATTTAGCTAAGATGGCGGACGGTTTCATAAAGAAAAAGAAGTTAAATTTACCTCGATTTCCCTAACACTAGACAACTAATAAAATTTATATTATTGAAAGTTGAAACTTGATAGAGACCATTGAAACCTTGTATTGACTTTTTGGGTGTTTAATTTTATAATTAAAAGGGGGAGATGATAACTCGCCAAAATCATTCTGATAAGGGACAAAAGAGAAACACAAACAATTTTTTTTTTCCACCACTCTTTTTGTTATTGACGGAAAATAATTAAAATTTATAAATTTTTTAAGTCTCTCATCTCATGATTTAGTGATAAGAAAATCTATCAAAATTTAATTTTTTAACTAATAATAAAAAATTATAAGGAAAAATATCACTCACCGCGATGAAAGCATCTTAATTTTGCTGGTGATTTTTTTTTTTATAACAATTATTGGTGACAGTGTGTAAAATATATAAGCAGATGGCGTGCCTTCTTTCAACAGTGCGTTTGATTGAAATTCAAATTAATTTCCCCTTCTCATAATTTAAACATGTGAATGAAAAATAATATAATTAGAAACTATTTTAATTAATTAGGTTAAATTATTTTTTTAATTATATACTTTTATAGAGTTTTTAATTATGTTAAAGGAAAGAAGTATTTTCATACTCAAAAATTATGATTCTTAAGAATTACAAATTTCAAAAATTATAATTTTTGAGAATTATAAATTCTAGAAATCATGATTTCAGAGAATTATAAATCTAGAAATCACAATTCTTAGAAATGATTAAAATATGTGTAATTACTCATAAAGGTTCTTGAGAATATTAATATAAATTTTCTAAAAATAAAGATTCTTACATTTGATTATAATATTACTTTCTCGACTATATAAATATTTTTTTATAAAAATATCTTTTATAAAAAATTGAATTTCTTCTTCTTTAGGGAATGTAAATGTGTCATAATCTTACATAAAAAAAATATTTAACTTAAAATAACAAATCAACAATTTACATGTAATTAAACTATACACAAAATTACATTAAATCATATATAACATTAAATTAACATATATAATGTAAAATAAATTAACATATATAGCATAAAGTACAAATATAAAATATAATTTTCAGGATTTATCATAATAAAAAAAGTTAAATTAACAATCAAAATAAAAATAAAAATTAAACTATAATTAAGCTATAAAAAAATATATAACGTTATTTTGTTTAAATAATTTATTAAATTTAGAAGCTAAAAATTTTAATTGCAAATTAGTAATGCAATTTTATATTTATAAATTTTAAATAACTATAAAATCATATCTTATGAAAATTATATAATTATATAATTTTTATTATTAGATTAACAAGAAAAGTGATAAAAAAAATAGTAATTTCTACCTAATGAAAATAAAATATTTTTAATAAAAAATACAATAAAATAATTTGCTAAAAGTTTATACATGAAACATTGGACTGGTTTTCTTTTTTCTTAAAAAAATATAATTAAAAGTGATAAAAAATAATATGTCTAATGAATTATTTAATTTAATTTAATTTATATTTTAATTAGTTTATAAAATTAATATGTTTTCGTGTTTGTTGTTCAAGTGATACTAGATAAAAAAAAATATTAATTAAGTTTTCTGTTTTGAAAAAAAAAAAAAGTATTGTAATCTTTTTAAATACATAAAATTTTACTCCTAACTTAAGAAAGTTGAATTCTCAACTTTTATGAGAATTTTTTTTTTAAGTGGGATAAAATATTTTTCAAGGAACTATATTTCCTAAGAATCTTTTATTTTTAAATAGTTACCAAACAAAAAAAAATTAAGATTTTCAATTTAAAATTCTTAAAAAAAGTAAAAGCTTCTGCATAACAAACGCTTTTTTGAAGTTTCGCGGTTCAAGTATTGAATTTGATAATAGGTTTAATGCAGTGAAGGTACTAACTCTTAATGATAACTAATTTTCATAAAGTTGGAGGATATTCATGCCAGTACAATATTACAACAAAAACATAGAATTTTTAGTTAATTCCTACAACAATAAACACTTTAAAAAAAGTCTTTATAATTGTTTTAAAAAATTATATTAAATTTATACAAACTAACGTCATTATAATTTTGTTAATTTATATTTAATTTTACTATACTTTTGGTCTTTTAATTTTTTTTTATACATTAGTTTAAATCCGCACTCGCGGATATCTGTGAGTAAAATCCGCCATGGATAATAAATGAGTAGGTTAATTGGGTACTCACAAATAATGGAGATGAATAATTTTTTATCCGTTTATAAATGGGGCGGGGTGGGTATGATGGTATCCATACCCGCGGATACCCGTTTAATAATATTTCTTAAATATCTTAATTATTCTTGTACCAAAAAGATAGATAATTTGATTAATTTTCTAGCTTTAATTGGACCAATAAAATTTATGTATTTTAAGTTGTTTACTTTCGTTTGAAATTATGAGATTGAATTATTGTAGCTTTGTGATATGAGACTTTCACTTACTTGTGAGATTGATGTATTTTGAGTTATTGATTATCTTGCTTTTTTGTTGTTATTTCAACAAAATTAACGTTAATTACAAGTTCAAAATTAACATTAAAATTTTATTTTTAATATTTCAAATTTTCAATGACATTAAATATAAACTTAAAATTATTTATAATATAATTTTTTAATTTCTTAAAAATTTTATAAATATCCATGGATATTCATTGATACCCACGGGTATTCAAGAAATTCATCGATACCCACTTAACAGATACCTGCGCGAATATGGGACGGATATGGGTCAATTTTCATCTAGCGGGGTGGGGACGAGTTTATTATTACCCGCCCCCACGAGACCCTATTGCCATCCCTAGATACGTCATTATATGTTACTTCATTATATGATACTACAAATTTTTTAAAAAGAATTAAAAATTATTTAATACTTTATTTCCTTAATTCAAGTAATTCCATAAATCCTAAACCCTATATATATATATTGAAAGTAGACTTCGCTTTCCCCACTTGTTACGCAAGTCTTCTTAAAATATGTTGCAAAACGTCTAATGAAAAAATATATTGAATCCGTATGATATTTAATTTGTTAGACTATGATACAAAGGATGACTTTGCCAATTGAAGTTTCATAATAACAACGTTCATTTTTGGTTAGATTCTTGGGTTCGTTATTATATATTGAACTAGGTCAGCTTTCCTCATCAAAGATTTCTCCTCTAATGACCTAGTCTGCATACGCTTACATTTAATTATAAGATGAATATTTCTTGCTCGCTGTCAAGAAAGAAAAGTCCACTGGTTTTATTAGATATCATAAACTCTTTGTTGAGTTAGTTATGACTTTTGCGTTATGTAGTAAGGGTTTGGCTATCTAATAAGATGAAGTGGTTGACTGGTTGTGTAAGTCCTATAAACCAATACTTTATGGTTAACTTTTTTTTTTTTTTTTCGAGTTAATCAGTTATACACTATTAGTATAAAAATTTTTTTACATTGACAATCAATTATATCTTTTAATTATGTCATGTCACTGTTAAAAGTAAATGTGTTTATAGTGACATGATACAATTAAAAGATATAATTGGTTGTCAGTGAAAAAAATTTACACTAACAGTGTATAGATGATTAACTCTAACATTTTTGTATCTTGTTTACTTATTATTTATTTGCAGTGAAATTAAAATTTTCATATTTAAATTAAAAATTTAAAACTTTAAAAATTAAATTTATTATCTAAATAAAATATTTGATGAATGATGAAAATTAAAATTAAAGTAATTTTGATTTTAAAAATTTTAAATTATGTGAAATTTTGTAATTCCGCTTGTCCAAATAAAACTTAAAGTCCCCTCCAAAGTGAGACCCTTTCTTTTGTCGGTACGATCCTTTTGTACTAATTCATTTATATTTCTTGTGAGCCTTCCTCAAAGCCTAATTATTTCGTCTCTTTTCTTTTTACTTTTTCTTTCCCTCTTTGTTTATTAGCTGCACCCTGGCCCTTTATTAGTGTTCCTAATAACCTTATTTCATTGAAAAATTTAATATAAATAAATTTTAATTATCAATTAAAATTGATATATTTTTTTATAAAATTATTTAATTTTAAATATAACTATTTAATTATAACCTTAAAAATAATAATAACATATTATAAAATAAAATACTATTTATTAAGGAAATAATTATATCCAGATATTTTGTTTAAAAGAGAAAAACTATAATTACTTTGTAATAAAGACTATACAAAAAAATAGTATATTTGTCTAAATAAAAAAATTTATTATTTTACAATAAATATTATAACTATAATAAAATATTTGTCAAAAAAAATATTTAAATGCTATTATTTCTATAACCCTATACTTAAAATAAAATTAATTAATTTTATATTGAATATTGTATACATTAACTTCATTTGCTCCTTTTCATGCTTGGGGATGTCCAAGAACATCTTCATGCTGCCTATATATATTTAATCCATATATAACCCCCACGAATCTTACCAATCCTACATTCTTGCTCTAGCAAAGGTAGTGTTTTTCTGTGATTTTATTTTAATTTCCAACACAATATTAATGCAAGAGAAAATATACTAATCATAATTAATGATAACTGGCCTTGCCATTCATAAACTAATTAACATGCATGAAAATTTGAATATTTACTATGAATTAATGAAACAGAATTGATAACACACCACCCATTCCTTAAAAAAAAAATGTGCTTTGCATTATTTTACACTATGTACATCATAGTTCTTCTATTCTCTTTACCTGATCCCTCAAATTATAAAAACAAGGGAAAAGGAAGAATGTACACAAAGCGAGTAAAAGAAATTAAAAAACCACGGAAGCATTCGTTCGCTTAGGGTCTGATATATGTACTTGACTTATTTATGTTACAACGTGTCTCTAATATTAACATCATTCCAATGTATTTTGTTCAGCACGGCTTGTTCACTTGACATTTTATAGGACCTGCAAAGCGAGTGAGATCCGCTACGCTTTTTGCAGGCATTGCTTTGAGGTCTGTCTTGGGAGCATTCGTGACTTTCTTCCCAGACTCAATAAAGAAGGCTCCATTCATCAATAAATCACCTTCTGATCTCCAATCCCATGATTTCCACTCACTTTCTGGTGCATATTCTCTTTTTGTCACCTGCAATATCATGCATGCACCACAATATCATTAGTGCATTGTTGCATGCATGAATAACATTATTATTTTTACCTACTTCTTTTGCAGCTTGGTTATTTGGAGCGACAAATCGGTTGCCCTGGCTGATGATGGTGGGTTGTTGGCTTCCACCAATTGCATACATTAGCCAATGAGTGTAGTCATTGTTTACAATATGAACGAAGCCCCACCTGCACCTCGGCATCCTCTGAACCAATCCTCTCCCGAAATGGTTGAAAGCCAAAGTCACTTGCATCACTTTATCACCAGTGAAGCTATCAGTTGCACCAAATAACAAAACCTGAATCACAAAATGAAACCAATGTTACTGCACAAGAAAAAAAAAATCAGAGAAAACTTACATGCAGTATTATAAGTATTGTTAGTACCGTTCTACTATTAGAATTAAAGTTTCACCTTATAATATACGTGATAAATGATTTGATTAAATATAAATGCATGTTATCTTTGTAAAACTCTAATTCTGAAAGAAAAACATGAAATGAGAGTCAGAAAGTGGAGATAGTGATGTGATTACATCATTGTGTCTGGTGAAATGGCAATTGGAGATAGTAACAGCCGTGGAAGCACTAACGACATCAATGAGGCCATCGTCGCAATTGGTCATGGAAACATGATCGATCCAAATACGCGTGGCTCCGAAAATCGAAATCCCATCACCATCGCTCATGGCGCGGATTCCATAGTGACTCATGGAGTCTCTTATGAGGCCACCGCTGCATCTCTTGATGTCGTGAACATGCAGGCCATGAATGATGATATTATTCACATACTGCAACGTTATTTGGGCACCGTTGCATATGTGAACGTTGGCGCCGCGTGAATCTATGGTCTTGTTATCCGTCAACATGAGCTCAGCCTTAAGCTTGATTTTCATGTTTTTGGAAAAAATGATCCACAATGGCTCTTTCTGAATCGCGGCGTGTCTCAATGTCCCTGGTTTAGGGTTCACGAGGTCATCGTCGGAATTGTCGCTTACCACGTAAATTTTGCCATCTTTTCCTCCCGTTGTGCCGTGGCCAAATCCTAAAACACAATCTGCAAGCTTCTTGCGGTTTTTCTCCCAATCTGGGTCACATCTCCAACATTGGTCAATGGGATTTGTAGCCTTGCATGGACCACTGTATTTTAACCCTCTTCTTGTGCTATTCGACCCTTCCACAGCTCTATGTATAACCAAAACTTTCTATTAATAATCGATTAATATACCAATGTACAAATAAAAACAATGCAAGCTTGTGTGTTACATGATGGTAGATTAAGAGCAACATATATTTGCAACCAATTAAGGAGAATTGAAATTAAAAATGCTCATGCTTGCGTACCTAATGACGTGTGCATTGAATTCCTCGGTGACTTTCATGGGATCTGGATGATAAGCCTGCTTTGCAGCTTCCCTTGCTTCCAACAATCGCTTATGCCAGACATGGTCCATGTGACCTATGTTAGCCTTCACGGTAGGGAATATGGCAAAATAAAATACATAAAAGAACAACAATGTCATCAACTTGCTAGCTTCCATGATAATAATTGTTTCTTTCTACGCAAGATCTTAAATCGTGTGTGTCTTTAAGCTTTTGTTTTTGTTTTGTACCTGCTTTGTAACCTATGTATATATATTGAGTTTTTTTTTCAGCGTTTTGAGTTATATATCCCTTGCTTTGCGCTAGACCCGATATATGCTACAAGATCCTTGCTGTTATATCTTTGTGTGAATGAATAGATAGCAATCGCCAAAACGAGTGAATATGCGTTGATTTTGCTATATCTGCTATATATTTGCTTGTGATTGTAATCCTTTTAGACATGAATTACCAATTTACCATATGTTGGAAAATTTAAATATTATAAATCGGTCGAAGATATTGTATATAGCAGACATAAATCTAATTAAAGTAGAGATACAAAAATGAAGCATGGTGAGGGAAGGGTGGAAAGCCTTTCCCTAAACAGAAAGCTTGTTTTTAGTCAGTTAGTCTCTTTGCTTTCTTTGTCCAACTTTTAGATATTTTAGTACATGTGCTAACAAATAAGTATTTTGTCTAGGAAATTTAGGTACACTTGTTATTTAACCATGTATTGAGGCAAAATAAGAAGGAAAATAGCAAGGTTAGGCACAAATCTATAGATAACATGAAATAGTAGTCTGCACTAGTATAGGTGATGGATAATTAGAGAAATATTGAGAAATTGTTTTTTAATCCTCCTACCTATCATCTTACTAATGATATCCTTAAGTTCAAATCATGACATCATCGTAAAAAAATGTATTAAATACATTATATATTTTTTAGAAATTAAATACATACTTTTACTTGATATTTTCATTATAAGATAATATAAGAGAATTTGTGGATGGATTAGTAAGATTTTCCATTACTCATAGTATAGCAATTTTCGTAGTGCAATTTGGTTTAGCTTTTGATTTAAAAATCATTTGAATAAAACAAAAATATTAAGTACAATTTAGTATGGTTCAAATTTTGTAATTTTAAATTTTGTCATTTAAAAATTAGTTATATATATATATATATAATATTTTATTATTTGATTAAAACCTATACATCAAAAATAATATTATAAGTACAAACAATGGAATTTTTTATCACCCAATGTATTAATACCAACTTTTATCTTATTATTTTTGTGAAAATAGTTCTTTAATACAATTTTAGATAAGTATTATATATTTTTTATATATGAAGTTTGTCACTTAAAATAAAAATACTTTTGAACGTTATAAATGATTCATAACTTTTTTAATTTTAAAATTCAGTAACTTACAATTTTGTAAAACATTAAATCAAATATATTACAATGTGCATTTGGGGTGAAAAAACAACTTTTAAAAGCATATAAAGTTTATTAACTTATTTCATAAAATGTCTTTTATGTTATGTTGTGTTATTGTCGTATACCTATTGGTATAATGACATTTAATTCTTGTTTTTGTTGAGTCATAATAGCCTTTAATTTTCTCTTTTCCCATTGTATCACACTTATGACTATTGGCAACATTTGATGTATGACTTATGATTGTTGGCAGAATTTGATTTACTTTAATTATTGGTTTTTGATTTTAATAGCCATTCAAGAGCATTTGAAATATTGATTTTGATAGCATTTGGTTGTCTTTAATGAAATTAATGACATGTCAACGATCTAATATTTTTGTTTCATAAAAGGTTACATTCATCACACTTTAGATAGGATAATTCTTCTCTAAACTTCATATTTTCTTTCTTTACTCTATATTGTTTTGGGCATTATTTATGAGACTCCAATGTGTGAACATATCGTTGTGTAAACCTTAAGAAACAAATTGATTATTGAGTTGGGATCCACTAGAAATTTAATCTATGGTTCTTGTCATGACAGAACTCTTATTCTCCTATATTTCTTACAATTTGAAAGAAATTTTTTTCCCAATGGCTTTGTTGTTTAATAAGGCTTTGTATGATATGTCAAAGTTTGAACTACTTGATGGAAGAAACTAAAAGTGATGGTCACAAGGATTACTCATCTTCGAGCAACTTGAGGTTGACTAACTTCTATTCAAAGATACTACTACCATTCCTCTTGAGGTAAGTAATGAGTAGGGATGAAAATAGGGTGGAGCGGGTTAGGTTTTACTATTTCGTCCTTATCCCCTATATTTGTATCTGTTTTCATATCTGATGAGTATAAAATTTGTATCCTCATCTTTGTCTCTATTAGATATCAAGTATGCCCGTATTTGTCTCTTATTTGGCTAGAAATTAATTATTTTCTTAAGAAAACATATATAAAAAAATAATTTCAACATAGAATACTAATCACAAAATATATTAATTTTCTAGAAATTTAAAACAGGTAAGTGTACGGGACGGGTAAGTATATCCATCTCTATCTCATACCCAATTTAATAAATCAGTACTATCCATACCCATATCCATACTCGATCCAATCAAGTATTCCCCATCTCAATCGGAGTGGATTCGAGTATTACCTACAAATACAAATTTATATGCCATCCGTAGCTAGTAATGAGGATATGGAAGCCACAATTAATACATATAAGAACCATGAAAAATATAATAAATTGGTACATGGTCATCTCCTTAATCATATGCATAACAATCTTTTATATCTCTTTGTGTCAAAAAGTCTACAAAATATAATTGGAAGACACTTGAAAAGAAATATGGAACGTATGATGTCATTAATCATAACAAGTACATTACTAGAAATTTTCAAATTATTACTAGAAAATTACTATTCAACATCGTTATATTTACATCGGTTCCCCTCAAAAAGATGTAAAAAAAAATACGCGATGACAAACTTGTAAATAAGTAAAAAATATATACATATTTACATTGGTTCTTCTTAAAAATGATGTAAATGTGAACTATTCTATGTCAATTATATTAGTGACCATGTAGAAATGAAATTAGTAAAGTATTCTACATCGAGTTTTCTATTGACCGATGTAGAAGGGATAAATAATTGCCTTACTGCGCAAACACATAGTACCTACAACAAGCTTAGCCACTCAACACTCTGTGCGAACACAGACTGATCTCTGAAGCAGCCCTGTGGGAACATATACTCATCTTGACCTAAAGAGCTATCATTCATCTTCGACTAATGACGATCTAGGCTCGCTAATCTTTGACTAACGACGGTCCAGGCGTTGAAGCCCTCTTCGACGAATAACATTTGAGGTAAACATAGTGAAACCCTTTTACTTGCGTATTTAGTTTTGTCTTTTGTTTGTTGTTGCCTCGCTCATCCTTTACAAATGTGTGATGATGGTTTAGGGTTTGGAGTGATGGGAATGGTGGGTGGGGTTTCTGGGTTTGTGTTTGTGGTGACAATAAAGGTTGCAGCTTTGTAGTTTGGGGTGGGTGGGTTTTAATTTTAGCGCCTCCATTGGTGGGTTTTTATTTTCCTTAGCCACTGAGCAGCGATCTTCTTATGGGTCTGTGAAAACTTCGGAAGCACCAACATTGGGAAGTGTTATGGTGAAAGTGGAGGTTGAGAAAAAGGGTTGTAGAACGCGATGGCTTTGGGTGGTGGTGGCTCTTGTGGCTGTGTAAAACTTCTCCGAGAATAGCTCTATTTGGAGCCATTGATAGAGCTTGTCACTATGCTCGGGTAATTTCTCTCAACTCTCTTGTCAATAACCCATATTTAGAATTTTTTTCTTCTTTTTTAAATTGTGGAATTCTGAATCTTGATGTATTATTTAGATTAAAATATTGGACTGAGAATGTCTCTTTATATGATTTTCCACTTGTTTTCCCTTATCTTGTTTGTTACAATTTATATCACGTCTAAAGCGAGTTTGTCTTCCATTGGCAATTGTAATGAAAAACTCTTGCATTGATTGGTGCCCCCAAACAATGGGAATGTTGAGACATGTTTACCATGATTTTTTTTCCTGCTATGTAACTAGAAATTTAGTTTGATGATATAATATTTTGATCGAGGGTGGAGGCTTAATTTTTCGTTTAGCTTGTTTCAGGGTACAACAAAGTACAGTGGCATGGTGAAGGATTGTTGTCGCGGTTATGAAACTAAGGATAGTCTCAATGAGGATTTAGGAAGTATTGCACTTGCACCTTTTCCTCCATGAGCTTGTGAAGACCCCTTTCTTTTGCTATTTTAAGGTTTGCTTATTGTCACATCTTATATTATGCTTAGTTTTCTTAATGAATTTCCTGTTGACTAAGATCTTTACTGTTGATTCTCAAGGTTATCTTGAGTTTGATGAGAGCCTGATAAACTATTAGGTTTTGGTTAGGCCCTTATAGTTTGTGTTTTTGTGTTCAAATTGACTTTTGCATTGGTTCCTATCCTATCCCTGATATTACTTTTAAAGATTACTAGCAACCAATTCATTCTAGCAGCATAATATAGGTTTGAGAGGGGCCTTTATAGGGAAAGAATGTGTGATGGTTCCTAGCTTGTTTTTGATTGATCATTTTTAAAGGCTTTCTTGATCGATGGAATATTTGAATTTTGATTTGATTAACAATAAGAGAAATTTGAGAGAACCACATATGTTGTAGAAACACATTAAAGATTTAGCATTATCAACTGAACTTAGTGCCTTTCATGTCCAACTATTTCATCTACAATTATGGATTTTAAAATATTGAACTTGTTACCCCTGTAATGTGGCAAACTATTGTATGTTGTTGTGTGGTGTTTAGTATAGTTATTTCTTTTATTAATCGACTAAGTTTGACTTTAGAGTGAGTAATGGTGAAGATTAGATGAACCAAAACTAATGATATTATGTTACTTGCATCAATACTGCTAAAACTGGACTGGTTAGTGAAGCAGTGAAGACACTATAGTTTTCGGTTCATAATTTATTGGATTAACTGAGATACTTGGATTTTTCTGTCTTCACATTTCCATTATAATTTAAGAATATAAATGTCAATAGTAGAATGAAAAATTATCGCAAAACATGGAAACAAAACTGAAATCCAAGACATATATACACATGGACAATAAATTCGTGGTGCATACCAATCAAGTGATGTCATTTGGCCATTTTTGAGAAATTGGAGCAAAATGTAAATCGAATGATTTTAACTGGTTTTTTTTTACCAGTTCACTCAGTTTTTTTTACTGATTTTGATTTTGTAATTAAAAT